AGTGAAAAGAGCATCCTGGATGAACCAGATTCTCCTCTAGAGGTGAGGCCTTTGTAATATTCATATTCACCTATTATCAGGTTTGTGATCTTCAGGTGTCTTGCTTGTTGTTTCTGGCTCACGGGTGGCAACCCATCAGGCATTTTCAGAACCACAGCTCATGGACAGCTCGACTGACTGTGGGTTACATGACCTTTGTGGACTGCTGCTTAATTCCCTGTGTAGCATAAGCCTAGTAATGCAAAACAAAAATTGAGTATTTAATGTCATCGTTTACTAAAGCTGTTATAGATACATTTTCACATATTCAAAACGTTATATCCTGTTGTCCAATGTAAGTTAATGCAGATCCAGGGAGACTGAAGCCTCTGTTATTATTAATGAGAGTTTTGTGACAATTTCAAAAAAAAAAACAAGATATGACACAAACTTCTCAAAAATACAAAAACAAATGTATTGTTTTTGTTTTTCTCTTTTACAAGAATGGATTACAGTGTTGCCGTTTTGATGTGCATTTCTGGCTCTTCTACAGCAAAGTGCTTGGTAAATTGAGTTTTATTTTCTGCCTGTGTTCATGATATTCATGGTTTGGACAGTAAGGGACGCTGTTGGTTAGTGAAACAAGTGTTCAGAGTTGATTCAGGGGAGGCACAGCCCTCATTTTCTCGTTTAATCGAGAGAGAAGGCAAACTGTGATTCATAAGCAGGAGGACGGCCACAATTTTATTCGGAGCGAGGACTTTAAAATCAAAGGATTACTTGATGCAGCTATTTTCGATGGATTGTATACAGTAGGCTGTTGATATTACATTCTCTTATTTGTACAATGGCGTTTGAAAAATCTCCTCCTTTTTGTGTAAAATGGCGTTTGTATAGCAGATCAACATGGCAGTTTCTGCTGTTCCTTTGGTGTCTCAGTCACATCGTGTGTGGCCAGATCAGGTACACAATTCCGGAGGAGCTGAAAAGGGGGTCTCTCATTGGAAACGTTGCTCAAGATCTTGGTTTGGATGTGCAAAGGCTTCGTTCTGGCCGTGCCCGTATCGTGACAAGACAAAGCATCCAGTACACCGAGCTAAAAACAGACAAAGGCATTTTAGTCGTGAACGAGAGAATAGACCGGGAGCAGCTGTGTGGAGACGTAACGCCGTGTAGCTTCAGCTTTGAGGTGATTTTAGAAAATCCGATGGAATTACACCGTATAACAGTGGAAATAACTGACATAAATGACAATTCTCCGACGTTTAGAAAGGATGAAATTAAATTTGAAATTAGTGAATCTGCCACACTGGGATCACGCTTTTTGTTACCCAGTGCCGAAGACGCCGATGTAGGTACTAATGGTCTCCAGAAATACATACTAACTACCGATGAAATATTTGGTTTAAAGCAGCACTCGAGTCCAGATGGTCGAAAATATGCCGAGATGATCTTACAAAAACCATTAGACAGAGAAAGCGAGCCTCGGATATCACTAAAGCTCATTGCTGTTGATGGTGGGACTCCGCATAGATCTGGTACAGTAAATATAGATATTACTGTTCTCGATGTTAATGATAATCCTCCTATTTTTAACCAGACTCTCTACAGGGCTACTGTCTCGGAGGATGCATTAAAAGGCACCTATATCACGACAGTGAATGCAAGTGACGCAGACAGTGGATCAAACGGCCTCGTCACATATAGATTTTCAAACATGAAAGAGCAGCTGGCTGACATATTTCATTTAGACGAAATTACGGGGACCATAACACTTGTAGGACAAGTGGATTTTGAAAAAGATAAGAAATGTGAAATTATGATTGAAGCTATGGACCAAGGAGGCCTGACAGATTCAAGTAAGGTGCTAATTGAAATTGTTGACGTCAACGATAACGCACCTGTCATAAATGTGATGTCATTTTCCAGCCCCGTGCCAGAGGATTCTGCCTCCGGTACCACAGTGGCAATAATTAATGTGATTGACGCAGACTCGGAGCAAAATGGCCAAATTACCTGCACAACAGACAGCAGTCTCCCATTTAAAATAAAATCTACATTAACTAATTACTATGCATTAGTAACAGACTCAGCTTTTGACCGAGAAGTTGTACCGGAATATAACATAACTGTAAGAGCCACGGATTCGGGATCGCCACCATTGTCAAGTACAACAATATTACGTCTGAGAATCTCTGATGTGAATGACAATGCCCCGTTATTTGATCAACTTAGCTACGTTTCTTACGTTACAGAGAACAATTCCCCTGGAATGTCCATATTTTCTGTCAAAGCCCAGGACACTGACTGGAATCAAAACGCTAGAATATCGTACTTACTCGAGGAAACACAGATCAATGGTAGTCCAACCTCTTCTTACGTCTCTATAAACAGTGAAACTGGAGGTATCCACGCTGTGAGGTCGTTTGATTATGAACAAATGAAACAGCTCCAGCTGGTAGTAAAGGCGCAGGATGGAGGCTCCCCTCCACTCAGTAGCAATGTGAGTGTGAAAATTATGATCCAGGACCAGAATCTCCAACACGTGTACATTACGAGGTGTGCAGGACACTGACTCCCAGAAAGAGTGACTGTAAGTTCGCAGAACTGGTAGTTCAGAACGTGCTATAATGGAACCCCCAGTTCTACTACAGGGACGAGATGCAGCGGATTGTCGTTCTGATCTTGAACATTTAATTTAACTGTAGTATTGCTGCTTAAAGGCGGCGAACCGCCATCTTGCCCCTTGACAAAAATATTTAGAGTTTTAATTTGCTCATAGTCAAATGAGCGAACTGCATGTATAACTCCACTTTCTGCGTTAACAGATATGTAGGTGGATATCGGGTTACCGTTTAACTGAGTATCAATAAGCAGGTAAGACACACGTGCATTCTGCCCCGAGTCAGCATCGTGTGCTTTCACTGAAAACACAGATAATCCTGGGGAGTTATTCTCCACGATATTGGCTTCATAATAACTCTGTTCAAATACGGGGGCATTATCATTAACATCAGATACTCGAAGTGGTATTGTCTTGTTAGTTGAGAGTGGTGGGGTGCCTTCATCAGTAGCCGTGAATGTGATATTGTAATCAGGATTACGCTCCCTGTCAAGGACACCGTTTGTCACCAGAGTATAATAATTCTTCAGAGATGAGTGGATTGCAAACGGGATATTGCCGTTAACTGAGCAGTCAACTTTACCATTTTTTCCTGAGTCTAGATCTTTTACATTTATGATAGCTACAGTGGTTCCACTCGGAGAATTCTCAGCGATGGCACTAGAAAACGAGGTTAGTGTAATTACAGGTGCATTATCATTAACGTCCGTCACCTCAATTATTACTTTTGTTGATGTGCTCTGTCCACCTTGATCTTTTGCCTGCACGCCAATCTCATATATCTTATTCTCTTCGTAATCAATCATACCGTTTACAGTTAAATCGCCGCTGTTTTCATCCAGATGAAATAGTTCAGCAACGTTACTAGACATCCGATTAAAGTGGTATGTAACACGGCCATTCATCCCTTCATCTGCATCTGTCGCGCTCAGGCTCACCACTAAGGTTCCTTTTGGAACATTTTCTTTAACAGAAGCCTTGAAATTTGACTGCGTAAAAACCGGTGCATTGTCATTTGTGTCTCGCACAGTTACATGGATTTTTAGTGTCCCTGATCTCTGTGGTTCACCGCCGTCCACAGCAGTGAGCATGAGAATCAGCTTTTCTTCTTTCTCGCGGTCTAAGGCATTAGAAAGATACAACTGTGCATATTTATTACCATTTGGGCTGGACAGGACCTTAATGTTAAAATGTGTCGTTGGGTGTAAAGTATAACCGTGTAAAGCGTTGACGCCAACATCGGGGTCGGTGGCGCTCTCTTGTAATATTTCGGTTCCTGGAAGAGCAGATTCTACTATTTCTACATGCACCTCTTTCTCGTGAAACACAGGCGCATTATCATTAACATCCAACACTTCCACTACAACGCTATGTAGTTGCATTGGATTCGTCATAATCATTTCAAAATTCAAGCTACAGGGCGATGTCTGTCCGCAGAGCTGCTCCCTATCTATTCTGTCTCCCACCACAAGAATCCCTTTGTCTGCATCCAGCCTGATGTACTCGCTGCTATCTCCGCTAACAATTCGTGCACCGCCTGATATGAGTCTTTTAGCGTCTATACCTAAGTCTTCAGCTACATTTCCTACAAAGGAGCCCTTTCTCATCTCCTCTGGGACAGAGTAGCGGATCTGACTGACTGCCGCGTCAATGAGAAAAACAAGGATGAAGGCCTGTACTTGCCATTTAATCGTGGGTTCACTGCTGATAAAAGGCATATTCCCGAAGCAATCCACCCAACTCCACATAAACCTTTTTGCAAAAAGCCGAGCTATTATCCTGTATTGTCCTTCTGTTGATGTATTTATAATCCACAGAGTGAAATCAAATGCACAAGTCAAAAAAAATCACCAGTGAAAAGGAAGACTGAATGTCCTGCTGTCCGCGTATACACTAACTGAAATAGAGGAATAGTAAGTGCATTTCAAAGGCTTCACGTCTGCTTTAAAGACCAACAGCGGCCCTTAGAGTACGATAGGAAAATAACAAGTGAATAAAGAAAAGAGAAAAAAAATCTTCTTTAAATGGCAATTGAGAGTGTGAAGCTAACTGTTTGTCTAGGAGATACGTTTAAAATAAGGTGTGCATGTTCTATTAAAACAAAACATAAGACATAAAAGATGCATCTTATAAGGTGATTAAATGAAAGGAAGAGATAAAGAGTAACAGCAAAATGCAGTTCTATGAGACAAACAACTGCAAAAACTATACTATA